AATATTGCCCAAATAGTAATGTGTCGTCTAGTCACACCTGTATCAGCTACATATTAGGTGTGCGGACGGATGATTGCTGCCAGGGATGAAAGTAACCCAGTCATCTGAATCCGCGTCTTACCTAGAGAATTGAAATTCATCACCAATGCATTACGATTTCTGAAATATTTACAGAATGGCTTTGAATTTTTGATTTTTACCCTTTTTTTGTAATTTAAAGAAGTACATAGAATGATTGCTATTATATACATTACAGAGTTTCCAATCCATAGTTATCTGTAGTATATAGCAGGTATTATGTGTATTCTACTCCCAGTATGTTCGCCCCGATAGTAGATTGATTATCTGTGCTAGTCGAGGAATCTTTATTACGTGTTGTGTACTTTAAAATATGTTCGCGCCAAAAAGACGAACGGTGTTCTTTATTTTTACTTTTCAGTTCTATTTCGTGACTCAGAGAACAGGCACGTCTTGTATATTTGTTTGTATACTAAAATGAGTATCTTTTGTAAAGAAAAAAAATGTGCGTGGTGACAGGACCCATGATCGGGATTTAAGAGGATTGTAAGCATTCTTAGTTATCGGTAAGCCGGACCAAAACGACGAAGCCTTTGCTTTTGTTCGCTGAATATACTAGTATGCGCTTTGGATCGGTTGGTTCGGGGTTCGCCAGTCTAAATGTCACGTCGCCTACAGGTGGAAACGAGCAGTTCGTTTTGCGCGGTTTATCCGTTACAGGCGTCACCCATCTACCGATAAAGGGACTCTATCTGAGTAGTACCCATCATTCTGATTAGTACTCATCATTTCTGCTATCAAATATTCATCCACATATTTCAAGCGTTGCCTCCCAGCAATGGGGATCTTGATTTCAACTTTAAATAAATAATCAGCCCTAAAACAATTCTGCAACCTCTAGAAACTTGTTTTCCGGCGTGTAATCCCATGTGAGCCGCTCTCTACATACACTATTAAGTCACTTCATCTTCGCGGAAATTAGCAAACTTCTTCGCCAACTTTTTTTTCTTTGACTGCAGGCTTTCTTATATATTATGTATCACATACTTGTTTCATTTCTTATGAATGCTTTAATCATATCTGAAATTTGACAATACACGGTTTTGAATTTCTGCACTGCGGGTGGTTAGACTTTTTACCAGCCTTCCGATCTCATACATGAATATTTTATTGCTTTAATCGTTCTAGTCCAGGAATTGTAAAAAAAAATTACAATAAAAGTGGAAATTTGTGTTTATTCACAGTAGGTTCAGTGTAAATTGTATGATTCAATTTGTCAGATGTTACACGGTACATTTCACAAAAGGATTTTTTTTTTGATATATTCTAGTAATTTTTTTTATTTATTGATTATTCAAACTTAATATTTACTATTACAGTATACAGGTATGAAGGTATATCTCCTTAAAAAAGAAAATGCGCTTAAAACTTCCCGATATTAATAATATAAATATTCAAAATATATATAAAAATTATAGACCATATTATGATAATAGCACCCTATTATTTTGCCTTCTTTGTGTGAAGAACTTCGAGTCAATGTTTTCCTTTCGTGTTAAGATGGGAGACAGTGTGGACCCAGACGCACCTCTCACACTGTGTTTGTTACCATTGGAGCGTTACGAATCCCCTCGAAAAGAACCTTAGCAGTTAAGCAGACACTTTGAACCAAGTTTGGGATTGCTAAAGATTGTATTCATACGGAATTGTCCCCCGGTTTGTTAAACAAATATTTCTCCATTTAACTTCTCCCACATGGC